CATAAAACAATATGTGTACTACTGTTTCATGAGAAACTATTTGTTCTGTAAGCCTTCACCTGAAGTACAATAAAAAAAAAAAGAGGAAAAAAAAAAAAAAAACTATAGACAGACTAGATCCCTGCCCTCATGGAGCTCTTAGTCTAGTGGGGAAGGCAGAGAGCACACAAGATAATGGATAATCGTCAGTACTGTTAAGAAAATATCTAAGAGGATAATGAACTAGAGAGAATGGTGGGGGTGGAGGAATGGACACACACTGATCTGTCGGAATTATGTTCTGGGCTTTTTAGTTCACCTCAGTTACCAACTCTGCTGTGGAGCCTTCCGTGAATGCCTCAGACCAAAATGTTTTTTATTTCCTTTAAATGCCCATAGCAGTTTGTGCCTTAATTACTACTTTTGTCACATACTGCTTTTTATGATTGGTATTCCTGTGCCTAGATTATAAGGCAGTTGAGTTATAACAGAAGGAGCCCTGGGACCAGAGAAGGAGCCCTAGGCCTAAGCCTGGGCCTGAATTGGCATTCTGGCTCTAGCTTTGTGACCTTGTCATAAAGTTTCCTTCCTTTGCTCTGCTTTATTTTCCTTCATGGCATTATCACTATCTGACATGATATAATGCGTGTATAATATTATATAGAATACATATATTTATTATCTGACTTCCTTTCTGATATGTAAACTCTATGATGGAGCAGATTTTGTGTGTTTTGTTAACTGCTTTATCCCCAGTACCTAGAGCACTGCCTGGTACATAGCAGGTGCTCAGTAAGTATTTGCTGATTCACTTGTTGATTGACCTTGATGAGTCATTTCACCTTCCAAGCAGTCCCATTTCTTCCTGTAAGGTGGACTTAATAATACTTGTTTTGTGTGGATATCAGGAAGGGTCAATGAGATAATGTACAGGAAAATGGCTCATAGGTGTAGGCCTGCAGAAGCATTTCTTGAATGAATATCAACCTTTGCATCACTGACCTGGGCTTGGAGGTTTGGAGCCCAGGACTTATCACAGAGCTATGTGTCTAAGTCATTTCTGGTTTGTAGGTAACATGGAGCAAAAAGACTGGAAACCTGGGGTCACTACCTCAGAGGTCCAGATGGCTTTGGTTTCTTGGTGTCAGGCATAGCAGAAAGGGGGAGCCTGATTCACCATTCTGCCAACCCTAGATCTAAGCATCCTGCTGGATGACAGTGGTGTGTGCTTCCTTAGCCTGAGTTTGAACTCCAGGTAGCCCTTCTCTGAGCCACATGGAATGTAGCTGTCAGCAAGTCTGGCATTGGAGGGCAGCAAGTACAAATGAATAGGAAGTCATGTTCTTCTGTCCTCATCTCCCAGGTGACTCTGAACAATGTGGAGGTGTGCAGTGAAAACATATCCACTCTGAAGAAGACGCTGGAGGTACAGGGGAAATAACCTATCTGCTTTCAGCAGCTGTAGCCTCCCTGAGGCCTCATTTTGGGAGAGAGCCCTGTATACTCATCCTGGTAGGGACTGTGGCATTCTCTGACATGAGTCTACTCTCCTTCAGACCACGTGAGGGTGTCCACTAGTGACTGACCATGTGAGAAGAGCTCTAGCCCAAGAGTTGGAAGATTAGAATTAATTGATTAACTAGAATTTAAGTTAGATCTCCCAGCAAATACTTGGACAAGTCCCTTAACTCTCTGAGCCTCAGTTCTCTTGTCTATAAAATGAGATACAGCTCCCTATAGCTTACTTTCGGTTTGTTGGGTGGCCTAACAAAAAAATATAATTGAAAGCACTTTATAAAAGTGATAACAACCTCTGTAAATTTAAGAGATTAAGATGACATAGAGTTCACCAAACCCCGTACAGAGCTGGTTGCTGTTACTGTTTCTTAAAGGAAGGCAGCATAATATAATGGAAATTGCGTGGGCTTTGAAATCAGAGACCACCCCCCTCCCAGGTTCAAATCTTCACTTGACCAGTGACCAGCTGTGTGGCCTTAGGCAAGTTCTGTAACTCCCCTGAGCCTCAGTTTCCTCATTTATAAAATGGAGATAATGATCTCTACCCCATAAGGTTGTTGTGAGAATTGAATGAACTAATAATATAAAACACCTCGTACATGATAGGCATGCAATGATAATTATTGTTTTAATAATTAAAAATAACAGCATGTATCAGTCACTTTATTAATTATTAGAAAATGAGGAGCCCAGCTCTTCCCCACTCCCAAACTCTGCCTCTGGAGAAAGGAGGGAGTCCAGGAGTCCTGTATCCAAGTGGGCACTTGTAGAAAGGAGGGGGCTTTACATCAGAGGCAAAGGGCTCAAAGCTAGTGAATTCAGATCTGGTGTTAAATTTTGCCTTTAGGGCTGGATTGACTCAGGAGAAGGTTCGGAGCCAGCACACAGGGAAGAGAGGCCTAGTAGCTAGCAGGTTCTGAGAACCAAACCAAACCCATTGCCGTAGAGTTGATTCTGACTCATAGACAGGGTAGAACTGCCCTGTAGGGTTTCCAGGGAATGCCTGGTAGATTCGAATTGTGGACCTTTTGGTTAGCCTCTGAACTCTTAACCACTATGCCCCTAGGCTTTCCGCAGGTTCCTGAGGGAGGCTCAAAGAGAGCAGTCAGATGGGAATTTCTGGTAGTACAGACCTCAAGTGAGGCCTTGGAGTAGATTAGACTTCTCCTGCTGTAGCCAACACAGCACAGACTTTCTAAGGCCGCTATAAGAAATGTGAGTAGCTCCTGGCCACCCAAAGCATCATGAGCTTTAAGCCCTCCCCCCGTGGCGTTCTCTACCTAAGGCTATAGTGTAGTGAATAGGAACAGGCACTCTGGAGCTAGCATCCCTGGGCTTGAATTCCAGCTCCACGACTTACTGCTCTGTGGCTTTGGGTAAGTTATTTACTTCTCTGTGCCTCAGTTTCCTCATCTGCACAGTGCAGCACCTACTTCATAGGGTAGGAACTTTAATTATTAAAAGTAAATGCTTCGAGCAAGGCCTGGTACACAGTAAGCTTTAGTTATGATCATGATGATCTCCCTTTGTGCCAGATGAAAACGTTGAAGAAGCAGAAACCATGTCAACAATAGCTATTATCTTCTCAGTATCTACTGTGTGCCAAGCACTGGCCTAAGCAATTTGTGCATCGTCTCATACAACTCTTACAACACCCACGGGAGCAGGAATTTTTTCTTTTTTAATTGTTGTAGCTTAAATGAAGTTTACATTTCAAGTTAGTCTCCCATACAAAAATTTATACATACATTGTTATGTGACCCTGATTGTTCTCCCCATACTTGGGAGCAGGAATTTGTGTTCCCATTTTATAGACAGGGAAATTGAAACTCAGGAACTTTAAATCACTTGTCCAAGGTCACTCAACTAAGCCATGGCTGAGCCAGGATTTGAACCTGGAACTATCTGACTTAAGGTTGGAAAAATTTGCTGGTATTTTTGTTTCTTATTCACATGCGTCAGATACCGGTACCTCCATATTACAAAGTGGGGAGTGGGAGACAAACTGGGTAGGACAGTATCCAGGTTTTCTGAAACCTACTCAGGGCTCTTACCTAGGATAGGCCCTAAGCTGCTCCCAGAGAAGGGTGGAGTAAGAGAAAAGGCTGGCTACAGACTGGCCTCCTGTCCTCCCTCCTCACACTTCCATGTCCCAGGCATGCTCAATGCTGGGTGTTCTCTCCTAGAGTGACTGCACCAAGCTGTTCAGCCAGGGCATTGGAGGGGAGCAGGCCCAAGCCAAGTTTGACAGCTGCCTTTCTGACTTGGCTGCCGTGTCCGACAAATTCCGAGATCTCTTGCAGGTAAGCCCTGGGTTCAGCTGCTGACAGAACCCTGTACCTGCATGCTGCTCTGAGAAAATTGTTACTGGCTTATCATGGGCTCCATGGTGTACAAGGAAACAGGAGAAGGGGTTAGTAGCATGCAAGCCACTGAAATACACGTCCCTTGAGATTAGAGGCAGAATTGGTTTCTCAGCAGTGCAGTTCCCTCCGTCAGGTTGACAAGCCAGAGTTCTGATCCTCTAGTATCTTCACTTGGCCCCCACAGTGCTAAGGACTTTCAGATAGATGCTCAGAGGAAATGGATCCATTCAGACCTGCTGCTTGGCCTTAGCCACAGTGCTGCCTACTACCAAAAAAACAAAAAACTTGATGGCAGTCAAGTCGATTCCAACTCATAGCAATCCCATAGGGTTTCCAAGGCTGTAAATCTCTACGGAAGCAGACTGCCACATCTTTCTTCCACAGAGACACTGGTTGTTTCGAACAGCCAACTTTCGGTTAGCAGTCGATTGCTTTAACCACTGTGCCACCAGGGCTCAGAAATCTCTCCTTTGAGAGTTTACCAGTTTATGAACTTCAGGGCTTCAACTCTGGCCCGGACCTGAATCAGAACAGATCTGGAAAGGAACAGGTTGTTCCTGGCCTTTTTTATTAGCATTATTTCTGCCATACTTCAGGCAGGGTCTACAGAAAGCCTCAGAGCTGGAAGAATGCCCTGGAAGTCAAGGAATGAATGGGGAAGGAGGAAGGGAAGGGATGGGACGTATGCCTTCTGTGTCTGACATGTCACTGCCTTGTCCTTATGCAGGAAGGGTTGACAGAGCTAAACAGCACAGCAGTCAAGCCGCAGGTGCAGCCCTGGATCAATACCTTTTTCTCCGTCTCCCACAACATCGAGGAGGTCAGCCTGAGCAGAGGCAGCCATCAAGCTCAGGATTACCCCTCACTTCCCCACCCCCCAGCTGAGGGCAGTGGAGCTGTCTGAACAGACTAGACCTCCCTTTGCTTCCCAGGCCCACTTCCCTCACCCTCAGAAGGACAGTTTCCTCCCCAGTTTGTTCCTGCGATCAGAGGGCTCAGGGAGAGGCATCTAAAGGGAGTTTTCCTTGACTGGACTCACCCGCTTTTTACTGAGGCTATTTTTGCCCCACCTATCATAGACTTAAAAGGTTTTTTTTCCCCTAGCCTAGTGATTTCATTCCTGTTGAACATGAAATGTCAGAAGGAATAAAATGCCACCATATTATTTGGGCCACTACTGTGGCCCAGGGCTGTTTGCTGGCTGGAAGTGTTATGCAGAAGCAGCAGAAGTTTCTGCCAGCCCGAGTATCCAAGCTGGTTTTAAGCTGGATTTGTCAGAAGCTACAGGGGAAGAAAGACCACTTGCATTGTTTCCTTAGAAGGGTGAGACTGAATGATACTTCCTGGAGAGAGGCCCACAGTGACCCACCTTGCTTTCTGATGATAGGAAGAATTCAACGACTATGAGGCCAATGACCCTTGGGTACAACAGTTCATCCTTAACCTGGAGCAGCAAATGGCAGAGTTCAAGGTGAGCAGGGACTCTAGGGACCAGCTTATGGAATCATCCATCTCTGCCCAAACCAGCAGCTGCAGCTTCTCATCTCACTCCTTCTGGGAACCCTGAAAGCCTTTCCAAGCCCCAACCTGCAGAAACAATCCCAGTGGCCTCATGTAACTGCTCCCACCCCTAAAGACTCCCCTGTGGAAGCAGAGGGCCAGAAAAGAGCTCTCGCTAATGTCTTGCCTCTCTGTGCAGGCCAGCCTGTCCCCAGTCATCTATGACAGCCTGACCAGTCTCATGACCAACCTTGTTGCAATTGAGTTGGAGAAAGTGGTGCTGAAATCGACCTTCAACCGGGTAAGGTTATGCTCTTCTCTGAGGAAGACACGTCCTGCCACCCCAGAACTTGCCTCCCCTCTCTGCTACCTCGAGGCCTGCATATCTGGCCCAGTCCTGCCCTAGCTTCTGAGGCATTGGAGCAGCCAGAGCCACAGGGCACCTCAGAGGCCCAGCTGGCTGTGCAGCCTAGCTCTGGGGAGATTAGGGGGCAATTTTCCTTGTCCAGGTGGCCAGTGTTATGGATTGAATCGTGTCCTCCAAAAATAGGTGTTGTAAATCCTAACCTCTAAGCCTGTGTCAGTCTGCTTCCATAAAGATTACAGTCTTGGAAACCCTATGAGGCAGTTCTACTCTGTCCTATGGGGCCACTATGAGTCGGAATGGATTCGATGGCACACAACAACATGCCTGTGGATATAATCCCATTAGGGAATGAGGATATGAGTTAATGAGGTAGGATTAGTGCAGGGTGTGTTTTGAGTCAATCTATTACAAGATATAAAAAGAGCAGGTTAGGACAAGCAAGCAAGCAGAGATGGGGCAAGAGAGATGCCAAGCTACATGAAGATCACCAGGAGCATAAGCTCAAAGAGATAAGGACCTTCCACCAGAGCTGACAGAGAAAAACCCTTCCCCTAGAGCTGGGGCCCTGAATTTAGATTTCTAGGCTCCTAAACTGTGAGAAAATATATTTCTGTTTGTTAAAGCTACCCACCCGCATCTATTTGTGGTATTTCTGTTATAGGAGCACTAGATAACTAAGGAAGAATTTGATACCGGAAGAGTAGGGTGCTGCTCTAACAGATACCTAAAATGTGAAAGTGGTTTTGGAATTGGGTAATGAGTGGAGGCTGGAAGAGCTTTAAGGTGCCTAATAGTAAAAGCCTAGATTGCCTTGAAGAGATGGTTGGTAGAATTATGGACATCAAAGGCAGTTCTGATGAAGGCTCAGAAGGAAGTGAGGAGAGCTATAAAGTCTCTGTCGTCTTAGAGAATACACACAGCATCAACAACAGAATGTTGCTAGAAATGTGGGCATTAAATGTGCTTCTGATGAGGCTTTAAAAGAAAATGATGAACATGTGACTGGACAGTAGAAGAAGGGCAGTGCTTTTTAAACAGTGGCAAAGAACTTGTCTGAAGTATGTTCAAATGTTTGGTGGAAGGAGGAAGGTAGAAGTTCTAACTAATGAATTTGAATATCTGGCTGAGGAGATTTCTAAGCAAGATCTTAAAGGGGCCACATGGTTTCTCCTTGCCATTTATAATAAAATGCTAGAGGAAAGAGATGGACTTTTTTTTTTTTAATTAATTGTTGTAGTTTAAATGAAGTTTACATTTCAAGTTAGTCTCCCATACAAAAATTTATACATACATTGTTATGTGACCCTAATTGCTCTCCCTATACTGCAACAGCACACTCCTCCTTTCCACCCTTGAGTCCCCATGTCCATTCAACCAGCTCCTAACCCTCTCTGCCTTCCCATCTCACCTCCAGACAGAAGCTGCCCCTTTAGTCTCTTGTATCTACTTGAGCTAAGAGACACACTTCTTACGAGTATCACTTTATGTTCCACAGTCCAGTCCAATCCCTGTCTGACGAGTTGGCCTCGGAAATTGTTTTAGCTCTGGGCTGATAGAGAATCCAGGGGCCATACTTTCCGGGGTTCCTCCAGTCTCAGTCAGACCATTAAGTCTGGTCTCCTTACTACAATTTGAGTCCTGTACCCCACCTTTCTCCTGCTCCATCCGGGACTCTCTGTTGTGTTCCCTGTCAGGGCGGTCACTGGTGGTAGCCGGGCACCATCTAGTTCTTCTGGTCTCAGGCTGATGAAGTCTCTGGTTTATGTGGCCCTTTCTGTCTCTTGGGCAAACAAGGAAAGAGATGGACTTAAAAATGAACTGTGCAAAATGAAAACAAAACTTACAGATCTAGAAAATAATGTTGTACAAACTAAGAACACATGTCCTACCTAGAATTCTCACCAAGGATGTGGCTACACAATCTTTTGTTAAAGAGATTAAGCCTGTGACTGATGGATCTAACCAACTACCACAGCAGAAAACTCATCAGCTAAGACTGAAAGCGACAAAGAAAAGCAGAGAACAATGTCTGCTGCTTGGAATTGTACAGGCAGGAAACAGACCAAAGGAGCTACATCTGTTGTCCTCCAAGAAAAGGACCATCCCTGGAGCAGCTTGGAGATAAACAGAACAGTTGGAAGAAGCAAAATAAGTAGAGCTGCCTTGGTCTCAAAGGGTAGAGCCACGGCCTCCTAGGTTTCAAAGAGTCAGATCTTCACCAGCTCGGTTCCAGAGTATGGGGCTGCCACTCAGTTTGGCCAAGAGGATGGGGCTGATGTCCAAAGCTGAGGGGACTGGGCTGCCATGCCCAAAGGGCAGAAGAATGGGGCCTGCCACGGCTGAGGGGTTGGGGTTGCCACTCAAGTGGACTAGGAGAATGGGCCTGCCCAAAGCCAAGGGAGCAGAGTTGCCTTCCCAGTGGGCATGGAAGAGGTAGCTGAAGCCCAGGGCCCACCACGGGCCTCCACCCAGAATCCAGAGAGCATGGTCAACACTCAGAGTCTGGAGGGCAGAGTCCTTGCCCAGATGATCCCAAAGAACACAAGATTATTTTCAAGCCTTGAGAGGTAATGTAAATCGTTCCGCTGGGTTTTGGACTTGCCTGGTACCTGTTATCCCTTCTTTCCCTCCAATTTCTCCCATTTGTAATGGAAATGTTGTGCCTGTTCCACCATTGTATTTTGGAAGCAGATAACCTGTATTCTAGATTTCAGAGGTTCTCAAATGAAGAGGAATTTTGCCCCAAGATGGAGTATGCTTAAAATCTCACCCACATATGATTCAAAACCAAAAAAACCAAACCTGTTGCCCTCAAGTCCATTCCAACTCATAGTGACCCTATAGGACAGAGTAGAACTGCCCCATTGGATTTCCAAGGTGCGGCTGGTGAATTCCAACTGCCCGCCTTTTGGTTAGCAGCCATAGGTCTTAACCGCTGTGCCACCAGGGCTCCATATATGATTCAGAAGATGAAATTTTGGACTTCATTTAATACTTTTGGGATGATGTGATGGAGTGAATGCATTTTGCATGTGGAAATGACAAATTTTTGCGGGGGCTAAAGGGTAGAATGTTCTGGATTGAATTGTCCCCCAAAAATTTGTGTTGTAAATCCTAACCTGTATGCCTGTGGTTATAATCCCATCCGGGAATGGGTTGTCTTTGTAATGTTAATAAGACAGGATTAGTGTAGGGTGTGTTTTGAGTCAATCTCTTACAAGATATAAAAAGCAGATTAGGATAAGCAAGCAGAGATGGGGGAAGAGAGATGCCAAGCCATATGAAGATCGCCCAGGAGCATAAGCTCGAAGAGACAAGGACTTTCCCCCAGAGCTGACAGAGACAGAAACCCTTCCCCTAGAGCTGGCACCCTAAATTCAGATTTCTAGTCTCCTAAACTGTGAGAAAATAAATTTCTGTTTGTTAAAACTACCTACTTGCACCCACTTGTGGTATTTCTGTTATAGCAGCACTAGATAACTAAGACAGCCAGGCCTTGAAAGAGTGACGACTGTGTTCTCCTGCAGCTGGGCGGTCTGCAATTTGACAAGGAACTGAGGTCACTAATTGCCTACCTTACCACGGTGACCACCTGGACCATCCGAGACAAGTTTGCCCGGCTCTCCCAGATGGCCACAATCCTCAATCTAGAACGGGTATGTGGGATGGGCTCATAGTGCAGCTTCTTGGTCTGGCCAGGGGAAGGTGGCTGGGAGAGAGGCAGAGGCAGCATTTGGATCCCTGCTACTCCCTCCAAACCATATCTCCGCTGGTGGCCCAGCCTTGCAGGGCACCTTCTTCCTGGGCACCCCTGCTCTGCTTCTCGTGAAGCCTTCCCTCAGGCTGGCCCCCTCTTTGCTAACTTTTCTCTGTGCCTTTCCCACAGGTGACTGAGATCCTGGACTACTGGGGCGCCAACTCGGGCCCCTTAACATGGCGCCTCACCCCTGCTGAAGTCCGCCAGGTGCTAGCTCTGCGCATAGACTTCCGTAGTGAGGACATCAAGAGGCTGCGCCTATAGCTGCCAGGGTGAGCCCACCTGGGCCAGATGCTTCAGGGCCCATTCTCTAAGTAGCCACAGCCAAGTGCTGAGCAAGGCTGTTTGGGCTGGAGGAGCTCCGACAGCCCAGACCATCCACAACAGGGAAGCAAGGCCTGGGCTCACTCTATACTTCTTCCTTCAGACCTAGCTGGGTGCTGCTTTGGGGGCAGCCTGACCCCTTCAAGAGAGATGGGTCCCCCTAGGCTCCTAATTAGGTGGGAAAGCCAGGGCAGACAGCATGAGGACCAGGCCACCTTTCTGAATGGACAGCATTCCCTCACCCTCAGACACTGCAGCAAACAGGCTGCCTCCTGCCAGCCTTTAGAGTACTTGCGTGCATCTGGGGACCTAGGAAATTCAGTTTGACTTGTACTGTTTATGATCACCCTGAATAAAGACACTCCTTTGAGAGATGCCAGTGTGCTATTTCCAGGGAGGCCTGGGTGCTACAAGTCCACACTTGAACAGAAATGTGAAGGCAAAAGCCCAAAACATCTGCCTCCTCCCATACCCAGCGAGACACATGGCTATCTCCAGGGACCCACCTGAGATCAGGAGCCCTCACCCAATCCTGGACCTTTATCCCCCCTCTTGGATCCTCAACAACATCCCAGGGGCAGTTTCCCACAGTGCTAGGGGAAGTGGGAATTGCTCCCAGCAGGATCAGAAAAGACAACCTTGAAAGGCAGGGTGAATTTATTCCAAGAAGGTTAGAGTCCTGAGAAGCCACTGTCCATAGGCACTGGGTGACTTGGCACAGTCCACAGTGTCGCTGGCTAAGACCTGGGTTGTCAGTGGCTTGCTGCAAGACTGCACCGGCTCATTGACAAACTTGGGTATGGACACCCACTCACCCCCCCCATCAAAAGTGAAAGCTGGGGCCTCAGCAGCTGTTGTGTCCCCCAGCTCAAGCAGGGGATGAGAGAAAGTAATGTGGACCTGTGGGAATAGAGAGGAAGGGGGTAAGACCCAGAGCTACAAAGAGGAACATCTAGAATCAGATGCTGGCGGGAAGGGAGCAGCTGAGGATGGACCACTGAGGCTTCAGGGCAAACGCATGCCAGGTCCTGAGCCACCTCCATTATTGGCACCTGTTCTTTGCTATACGCTTCGAAAGGAGTTGTGGCCCAAAAGATCTGCAAAGCCTTCAGGCAGATCCCTAGTCTCAGCCAGAGGGCACCAATCCATCCTGCCTTCCCTCTCTCCAAATCCCTAAATATTCTCTCCTCCTAACAAAATTCAAAGAAGTTTGTGGCTATACTAAGACCTTGCAAACTGCAGCAAGTCAGCCTAGGGAGTGTTGAGCGTGAAGTCTGTACTCAAGCATAAGCCTGAACTCTAAGGCAGGCCACAAAAACGCCTCAAAGGGCCTCTTCAGAGCCAGCCTTATCATGGGACCCCAGCCATTTGCTAAGGGCCCTAGTGGAGAGTGAAAAGGCCATGGCCCAAGTTAGGCCATAGGATTTGTAAGGCCACATGGGATACTGAGCTTAGAACTTTCGTATGTCCAGTGGGACAAAGGCCAAGCCTAGGCCACCATCAGCCTGGTCACAGTCCTGTTCCCAAGTACTGTCTTCACTGCACCAAGCTCCAGAAAGGCTGGGTCTAAACTCAGGTCAGATTCCTTTGGAAGCAGATTTGCAAAGGGATGAGTGGGGAGGAGAGGGCTGTGAGCTCTTGTGGGGGAAGGGAGGGGCTGCTGCAGCAACAGGTTTTCCCCTCTTGCAGGCAAGCCTCACGGGAATGATCATCATGTTGAGGCCCCCCTCTCCAGCAGCTGCAGGCTCAGGCCCTGAGTGTCCACTTCTACCAGGTGGATGCTGTAGTTCCCGAGGCCCTGGGAACAAAGTACAGAAAGTGTTTAGAGGGCTCTGGGCAAATCTTGGGTCTTCTGGAGGCTGGACAGAGGCTAAAGGGCCAGAGGGACTTGCAGTAGTAGCTCCTGGTTAGCTGGTGGGCCACAGGGAGGTCTGCCACCCCCCACCATCTACTGTACCCTGACACCATCTGGTACCTCAGTTTTGGCCAGCACAGCCTCCAGAGTCTCCTTTTGCCGCGGCTCCTTAGTTAACAGATAGAGGAAGCCCCCGCCGCCTGCCCCTGCCAGGCTCTGGCCATGCACGTGAGGAGCCAGGACATCCATCATCCGCCGCACCGCCAGGGGCTCGCACCCTGGAGCCATGAGCTTCTTCTGTGCCCAATATGAGGTCAGGTACTGGCCCAGGAGAGGCAGGTTTCCTGGGGTTGTGGCAGAGGGAAGTGATGTGCCTAGGCCAGGATATTCTCTCCACACCTATTTGCTGACTGAATGAAGGGCTGTGAGGCACTGCTTAGCCAGTGTCATGGTTAAAACCCTGGGTTTCAGTGCTGGCTGGAAAACAGCAGTAAGAAAGCCTATCTCACAGAGTGGTTTTAAGGATTGATCGGCCTAAAGCAGCTGGCACAGTGCCTAGCACACACTTGGAACCCTACTCAGCTGATTTCCCTAGAACTCAAGCTATGGAGCCAAGCCTCTTTTCCCTCATCTGCTTCCTGGTAGGAAGAGAAGGGGCTACAGGGCCTTTCACATGATACAAGTTTTGTCCTAAGATTTGGCTCCCACCCAGGTTTGAGACCCTCAAGAGTTCAAACTGAGGGCTTCTGTTCCCAGAGGGCCTAGTCAAGAGTTCTTGTCCAATGGCCTAATACCTGGGGCTGTGCCAAGCCTGCAAAGGCCCTGGCCTCTGAGACCCACAGAGACAAGGCCCTCCTGCTGCTCTGACTTCCCCTGGAAGAAGCACTCACCTTGGCGGAAGGCTTCAGCACATTCTTCTGTTTGCCGCACCAGGCTGTGGGCATTCTGCACCACAGCAGGCAGCCGGGCATACCAGCTCCTCAGCACATCCTGTAGATGGGACAGGAGAGGTGGGATGAGGACCTGGGCCCAGCTGAGCCACCTGCCTCCCTTCCTTCTAGGGCTGTGGCTCACCTGCAGCAGGTTTCGTGCCAGGCGGGTCTTGCCCGTGTACACCAGGAGCAGGTGATCATTGAGCTTCTGGACAAAGCCCTCAGGCACAGTGATCTCCTCCACCTCCACCTTCAGGGGCAGCTGAGCCCGGGAGCGCCCCACCTTGATGCCAGGCATCAGGCCACCCACTTGGTCCTGCCAGCCACCTCCTGCAATCCCAGGGCCCTGTCACTGTTGGAGTCTATCTGGCCCAGCTTCACTCTCCCAGCCCAGGCTCCTGGCCTGCACCCATGGCTGGGACCAGTGTGGGAAGACAGCTTCCCCTAACTACCTGGGGGGGGCAGGTGGGCTGTGCAGCTTCTGCCCCCAGCCCTGGGAGCAAGACAGAGGAAAGCGTTTTCACCCTGAAGCCAGGCCTGGAATTCACAAGGCCTGAGTTTTGTTTCAGATCTTATGTGTAATTGGAATTTGGGTAAACCACATTGAAGGATAAAGATTTTACACTAATCTCTTCCCCTCCTAGATGAGCTCTAACCAGAGATGGAGGTGATATAGGACTTTCCCTGTAGCCTAACAGTCCCTTTGTACTCTTTCCTGATACGAAGTGTTTATGTTGAAAGTAAGTTTTCAGCATCTCATCTAACGTGAGATTGTTTGCATCTTGCTTTAATAATGAAAGAGATCTCTTTTCCTCTTGCAGCTATATAAAAACTATAAAATGAGATAGTTCTGGGATATCCCTCGATATTAGGGGAAGGACCAGCAAAGATTTAAAGTATAAAATGCAAACAGCAGGCAGGAGGCATCTGGAACTTTACAGCCAGAAAATGGTGGCATTGCAGGGCCCAAAACGCCAAGAACTCCTTAAACATGCCCCTCTGTTCCAGAGCATCAGAGTAATCATACACTCATTTGTGTGCTTATTGATTGATGTCTGCCTCCAGTAAACTGGATAACTTTTGAGGGCAAGGACGGTGTTTTTGCTAATTTTATCCCCAGGGCCCAACACAGAGTGGACACTCAATACATAGTCATCAAGGGACTGAATAAAAATTTGATCGGTATAACTCAAAAGGAAATTCAAAAGACTTCCCCATCTGCCTCTGTTGCTAATGACTACTTACTATAGGATGTGAGTCATTACAAGGAAAGGAGGGAGCTGGGCTTCAGAGTAACTGGAAAGATACCATATTATCTACATGTCTTTGTGGAAGTTTCCTTCCCAGAGTTGCGCTGGAGACAAGGCCTGGCATCTCAAGGTGAACAGGACACCCTAGAATCTGTAACCAGACAAACTTCTGGCTGCTTTACAATGGACATCAATTCCTAGGGGCCCCAGTGGCAAAGAGAAGAGAGAAGTCTGGTGCTGGTAACATTCTGTTATGATCACAGCCACATGCCAGGGTAGGGGCAGGAAGTAAGGACAAGGAGAAGTGGGTACAAATGATCATAAGCCAAGGGAAGGGCAGGTTACCAGAAGGGCAGGCTGACAGTCCTGTCACCTACTCCAAGACCACCTCTGCCCAGCCTCACCCTTGAGGGACAGCCCTGGGTGAGGGCAGAGTCATGAAGAACAGCACCTGGTGTAAACAGATGCCTAATACAAGTCATAGATACAGCACAGAATCTAGCACTTAGTAGGTGCTCGTGAAACATTAGCTTCTTTGACGTAGAAACATTTCAAGTTGAAAACCAACAAAGAAAGTCAGTGCTCTGATAAGAAACTGTAAGCATTTTAAGGGGCCCCACAGTTATGCGGCTGTTTGCAAATCACATGCAAATCCAGGGGAGCCTCCGGAGACCCTTGGGAAAGTGCCAGTGACCTCCCTCCCGCATAGGACATACCTGTGGTGAGCACCTGCTCCAGGTGCAGCACTGCATGGATTAGGGCCTCTGTGCCCACTGACTGGCCAGCAGCCCGCTGCAAGGCAGCCAGGGCGGCGCCCGCCAGGATGCTGCTGGTACCTGCAGGCAGTGGAGGAGGGTGCCATGCATGAAGTGGCACTGCCCTGCCCAGTCCTGCCCAACTCCCTCTCTGCTGGGCAGAGGTCAGGGAAGGGGAATGGAGGTGAGGCTAGAGGGTGAGGACAGAGTTGATGGGCAGGAGGGCAGCAGGGGGCAGGGTCCACTCACCAAGGCCAGAGCCGTGGGGCAGCTCAGACCAGGTGTGCAGCTCGAAGCCACCCCCAAAGGTGCACAGCACCTGCTCGCTCAGTGGGATCTCGGAGCAGACACGCACGATCCCCGCACAGATAAAGGCTGCCTTCAGCAGGGCCCCTGTGGAGGGATAGGCCCCCAGCCAGGAGTTTGGCATCTGAGGACAGAAGCAGACACCCCCAGCTCACCTGTTTCCCAGCCCAGTGTGAGGCTCATCTGATGGGACAAAAGCCCAGCAGCATGCAAGCCTTATCCCCAAGCCATGCAAGGGCCTCTGGACTCCAGGTCACTGGGTGTTCCCCAACATGA